ATATAACACGCTTCATTGTACTACTTTAATTACATATATAGCATGTTATAGTATATGTTATCCCTTATATTACAAAAGTATTAACGGATTACATTTATATTATTTAGATAGTAAATATAAAAGTGATTTGACCAATGTTAACCGACCAACTTTGGTCGGTTATTATCCAGAAATTAAAGTATACTGACCAAAGTTGGTCGGTAAATACTTCCCCTGTATTAACCGACCAACTTTGGTCGGTAATTTTAAATAAAATTTCTTTATATTTTATAAAATATTTTAAATAATAATATAACTATAAAAAAATTAAAATTGGGTCCCACATTACCGACCAAACAAGTCTGACCAGCTCAGTCAACTTGTTGACCATTTTACCGACCAACTTTGGTCGGTATTTTATTTAAAATAAATATAAAATATTTTTCTCCCATTTTCTGATCAACTTTGGTCGCTTTTTTTGACCGATCAATTTTGATTTGAAAATTTTAGTCGCTAATTACTAAATTTCTAGTAGTGTATTGTATATATATAAAAAAAAAAAGTTAACCTTGCATGTAAAATGTGATTTGCTGGAGTTCGAATGAATCTCCTTCCGCCCCTGGATGCAACTGCCAACATTTAATTTGAGCAACCATGAGCTCTTAATAGAAAAGATTGGAATGAACTAAATTTTCAAGAAAATGCACCAAAAATAACCAAAAAAAAAAGAGAAGATAAGTCTCAAAATTAGTCTATCAATATTAAAAAACAGCAATAACATCTCAATCTTGAGATTTCACAAGTCACATTGAAAGGAAAATACCATCCTTCAAATTTATTTTTGTCTAAGTTTTAAAATCTCTTAGAAAATAAAAATAAATAAATAAAAAAAAAACAGCATGAAATTAAACCATCATCATTTTTTTTTAATCAGCGCAGTCCAATGCAACTTTGATCTTTTGAACTGTAGAGCTCAAAAGTGTATGCACATTAGCCACTGCCTCCATATTTTCCTGCTTGGAAATTAAATTATTATTATTATTATTATTATTGGCAGAAACCAATATTTGAAAAGCCACAGTCAACAGCGAACCGGTTTGTGAAATTCCATTACTGTCCCTATCCGCGGCAAGACGACCATCAGGACTTATGATGAAACCAGAGGGCAATATGGGAATTTGGGTGGTGTCTGCTCCATTGATAATTGAAGTAACTGTTGGTAAATCTATTGGTGCATAGATTATAAAGGCTCCCATTGGATCAATATTGGTTTCTTGAAGCAATAACATGTTGTTCTCCTTTGGCACATAAGGCTGCAAATATAACAATGACGAGTTTAACTTTTATACACTAATAAATATATATAATAATTTTTTTTTACACTATCGAATCAAATAAAAGATAATTATGAATAACGGATAAATTTAATAAATGGTCATATAATTATGATATTTTTTTCATAAAAGTTCTGTAAATTTATTTTCTCATACAAAAATCATTAAACTTTCACTAACTCACATAAAAATCATAATGACCGAAAAACACAGTTTTCCGGTAGTATTTTCTTATTCCTCATTTTTTTGTTTTTTATTTTCAGTCTTAATAAATAATAATCCAAATAAAAAAGGACAAACATTTATTTTTAGTCGCTCCAAAAAATAATAACAGATAATATATGTATTTTTATGTATGTGTGTATTAAATACATATAATATACATATTCTATATATTTTTTGTCTAACGAATGAAATTAGTTTTGGTCAACCAGTCATTTTTGTAATTTTTAAAAAAAATAAGAATGATCCAATCCAACCCAAAAGTACTACTTGGAAAATGCAGATAACATGATGTAACAAATTAAATTATATTGATGTAGTATAAAATAAGTGACTAAAGTAAAATTGGCTACAGAAATGCCTTTTTAAAGCCTAAAAAAAATATATATACGAGTTAAATATAATAATTTTAAGAGAAAATTTAATAGTTAAGGTGCATACCTGAATTATTGAAATACAATTTCCAGGAAAAAATCCTGTTGGTATTTGGGCTAACTCACCCACAGCATTCCCATTGGTTAAAACATCCCACTGCACCAACAAAATCAAACTTTAATTAATAAAATCTGCATTAATTTGTATAAATAAATTGAAGTCATGTATGACGAGAGTGATATCAAGCAAGCAAAAGCATAATTAACTGATAAGAAAATGGGCTTTGAACCTAATTTAATCGTGAAAATTGACGTATGAAGTGACGATTGTCCAATATTATAATAATAAGAAAATGAGATATTTGTACCATATATAAATATTGTTAAATGGCACTCTTTAAATTATATCCTCATTAGTTGGGTGGACTAAATTTCGCTATTAAGTAGGCGTTTGGACATAAGAATTGTAAAATTCTAAAAAATGGTGAAAAAAAATTTTCAAGTGAAAATGATATTTGAAATTTAGAATTGTGTTTGGACATAAATTTCAATTTGGGTTGTTTCTGAAGTCTTGTGAGTGATTTGAGTGAAAATTTTGGAAAACAGTTTTTTCGAGTTTTTCAAATTTTCTAAAATGCATCTTCAACTGAAAATTGGAAATTTTATGAACAAACGCTGATTTCGAAAAAAATAATTTTTTTTTTTTTTTGAAAAAAAAGGAAAAAAGAAATATATGTCCAAACGGGCTCTAAAAGTTGTTGGGGTTCCTCCTTTTTTTAAGACAAATTTACTTCATTGGACTATCAAAGGATATAATATAAAGAATTGCCACAAAAAAGGCTGTTTGTGCAAATATCCCAAGGGGGTAAGTGCATAGATAGCCATTCTCGTTATTTAAAGATTAGCCAGTACTTATTTTGTCATGTAATTTTAACTTTAGGACAATTCAGAATAATTTTGTCCCCAAAATTTGAAGTAAAAAATAGAAGTTCGAGACGCACTGATTAATGTCTAAATAACAGCTTTTTAGAGTGACTACCTACTGTTATTTCTACTAAAATAGACCTTTGACGTAACTCAATCTTTAAATATTAAAAAGAATATTAAAGGAAAGATACAAACCTGAGGTCTTGTCTTGTCATCTTTGAAGAAATTAAAAACAGTATCAAATGAAAGAGGAAGCCATAGGGAAGTAGCAGCAGTAACAATCAAGCCTTTTGGTTGACTTATATCTTCATTTTTTCTAAATGAAACTCGAACTCCACTATTTGTCATCTCTGATGAAGTAGGGAAATCTAATCTATCTCCCATACTTAGTATTTCACAAAAACTCTTCACCATCCTTTGAGATATTTGCATGACATTTTGCTTTCCTTCTAGTGCACCAATCACTAAAAGAAAGAAAAATAAAATGACATAATAAAAAAAATGTATTTAGACACTTAAACCAATGTCCGGCCTGCAGTGGCGTATGCAGGATTTTTGGTAAGTGGTGTTACTGTTTGAAGAAATAAACGGAGGAATAAAAGGACAGTTGATGCATTACGCTCCCGCTCGGTTTGGGAAGGGCCGGACCACAAGGGTCTATTGTACGCAGCCTTACCTTGCATTTCTGCAAGAGGCTGTTTCCACGGCTCGAATCCGTGACCCCTGGTCTCATGGCAGCAACTTTACCAGTTACGCCAACACTCTGATCCCCTTCAAATGAACGAATAAATAAATCACTATAATAACAAGCATTGTCATTTTTTATAGGGATCCTTATACAAATAGCCGACCATATTCATTGTTCACTTTTTCTAACCACATACAAAGATTATACATTGATTATATATAATTATACATATATTATACTTCCACTGATTATTTTTAGTTTAAGAGATCGGACACGGCTATTTGGGTTGATTCTTCTTTCTTTTCTTTTTTTTTTTTTAATATTTACTCCCAATATTTTCATTTAGTATACAACTTATATATACGTATTTTATAAAAATTTCGACGAAGCGATGTCATATGACACTGCTTGTCGAGGTGTATCTGCCCCTATATGTCAGACGACTGAGGCGGAATCAGGATTTGAAGTTCATAGGTTCGAGAACCCGTATTCTGCATTCTAGCTCCTCCATGATCGGGTGGTAGACAGGCAACAACATAAGGTGTTAATAGACCTGCGTCGGACCCTAAGTTTAGGTGTCTTGAATAAAAGTTGTGACAGATTAAAGGGCAACCTGATGTATTAGGCATCCCGCATTCATGCAGGATTCGGATAAGAGTTGCACCCCAAAGGTCTGATGTAGACAACCTACTCTAATGCTATCCTAATACAAAAATTTATGACTGCTTCCACGACTCGAACTCGTGAGAAGAAAAAAAAGGAAAAGGAATGGATTTACCTCCTTCTAAATCATGATTGTTTGCACCCATTGCAAAATTGTGTCTCTCAGACATCCTTTGAAGACTAATTATCCATCTCTTAGCTCCAAATGTTTGACGACCACACACTAAATCTCTATAGAGACGATTAGTATGAGTTTTGTCATCCACATGAACATGCTCAAGCCAAGTAACCTACAAGAGAAAAATTAAAATTTAAGAATCTTAATCATAGCCAAAAGAGGATATTAAAAGGGGAAAAGACAAAACTATAAGCTAAATTATATTAGACATAAAGGGTAATTGGTAATGTTAGAGACAAAAATTTTAATAAAGAGATTCAAAAAAGATCAAGAATGTTATGGATATGACTTAAACCTTCAATCAAAAAGCAATATGGGAACTAATTAACAATTTATATATATACTGAAAATTTATTTTTACCTTTATTGCGCAATATAATTTTCTTACAAAGAGGATTCAATTGAACTCCCTTTCGGATCCTATAGCTCCCCTTCTGCTAATGGCATGATGTTCAACTTATAGAAAATAATATCGAAATACTACTGCAGTCAAACCTTTCTATAACAGTTTCGAGCTCGTTCGTTCTGATATTTTTTAAAATGCTATAGTGAATTATTGTTTGTTATCCCTTTATTCTTAGATTGTTATTATTATCGTTGATTGCTACCTTGGATTCGGTCCTCCTTTATCTTCTTGTTGTTTATACTTGTTTTCTTTACTTCTTTTATCTTTTCTTTAGCCGAGGATCTTCCAGATACAATTTTTCTGCCTTCTAGGGTAAGGGCAAGATTGCGTACATCTCACCCTCCCCATACCCCACTGGTGAAAATTCACTGGATTTTTGTGTTGATGTTGTTGTAGTAAACTGAAGTGTTGTCATAGAAGACATATATCATAACATAATATAAAAACTGGTTAGAAAACAAACTTAACTTTTATAGTAAATCACTGTTATATATGAATCTTGTTATAGAAAGTTCTGTACCTCTAAGACTTATAGTTTGGTGGTATAAATCAATTCTCACTATCCCGAAGCTAGCTCTTTGGATACGGGTTCGACCGAACACAGTATAACTTTTGTCCAAACTTCTTACTTGTCTTAAAAAATTATTAAATTATGCATAAATTATTAACTTAAAACTCGACAACTTAGAAAAATTAAAATCCTGAACTCATAAAATTCAAATCCCGATTTCGCCTCTTTTTTTAACATAACATAACTTATGGGAAGTAGGCTAACAATAAACAGTAATAGAGGAAATCATAGACAATATTCTTACCATACTTTTCCCATTGCCCAAATCTTGAATAACACAACCAGAAGGAAACTTCCATGTCTGAGAAGGTCCACCACTTTGAATTTCTCTTAAGTTATCATATGAAACATCAACCATTGTCCATGTTGTTGGATCAAGTTGTCGACAACAACGAATGAAGAAAAAATCTCTTGCTCCCACAAGAGGAGATAGAATATGTAACTTTTCATACATCTGTTCCAAAGAAAAAAATTATTAAAAAGTTGGTATATCATTTTAATCTATGTCGCTCGGACTCTCTAATAATGTTGCCTGAAATCGTGTCGGATCCTCCAAAAGTAGTGAATTTATTTAGGGTCCGATACAGGTACAACATCATTTGAGCGAGTTCGCGCAACGTAGTTTTTAATGCACCACGGTTGGTATATCATTTTAATCTGTATTGCTGGATTCTGAAAATGCCGCCAGGTCTGTGTCGAATCCTCCAAAAGTGGTGAACTTTTTGAGGGTCCGACATAGGTACAACATCGTTTTGGAGAGTTCGTGCAATATAGTTTTTAATGTACCGCGGTTGGTATATCATTTTAATCTATATTGCTCGGACTCTCTGAAAATGTCGCCCGGTCCGTGTTGGATCCTTCAAAAGTAATAATTTTTTTAGGGTCCGACATAGGTACGACATCATTTTGAAGAGTTCGCGCAACATAGTTTTTAATGCACCACGGTTGGTATATCATTTTAATCTATATTGCTCGGACTCTCTGAAAATGACGTCGTGTCTATGTCGGGTCCTCCAAAAGTAGTAAAATTTTTAAGAATCCGACACAAATGCGCTCCTACGCTATTTTAGAGAGTTCGCACAACATAGTTTTTAATGCACCACGATTTTGATGTTTATTTTTCTAGGAGATAATAAAAAATGGATTAAAGTTTTTATACCAATTGTACAGAACCTCCGAAATTCTCAGTATCAACAACTTCAATTGTCCTAGCTTTTGTGACAATAGTAGGAAACATGTTCATATATCTGACCTGCATATACAAATTAAATCATCATTTTTTTAAGTATATATGAAATTAAACAATATACAGAATAGAATTTTAATAAAAATAAATAAACAAGCACTAGATACTAGCATACATCTCTAACCAAACTAAAACTATTTTTTTTTCTTTTAATTGTACTGGATTTTCATTATTTGAAAAGAAAAAAAAAAGGCAACCCAGTGCACTAAGTTCCCGTTGTGTGTGCGGTTCGGGGAAGAGCCGGACCATGGAGATCTATTTGTACGCAGCCCTAACTTGCATTTCTGCAAGAGACTATTTCCACAGCTCAAACCCGTAACCTTCTGGTCACATGGCAGCAACTTTACGAGTACCCGATTTTTCATTATGGTTTTAAAAATTCAAAAGAAATTATGATTATCTAATTAAATTTCAAATATTTTTATTCTAAACTTTAATAAAAAAAATATTATCCAAAAAGCATACTTACTGGATCAAGAAATATTTGAATCAGCTCAATTGCAGTCATTGTCACAACTCCAGATTCCTTTGATGATTCAATACGAGCAGCAGATGATTTATAAGGTTGATTTGGCTTTGGATAAATCTTTTCATAACTATCACGATAAATAAAATATCTCCCATCAATTTGTGACTTAATCCAAATTGGTTCATTCATTTGCAAAAGCTCCACAATTTCATCTGTTGCACTAATAACACTCCCAAATATTAATGATTTTTCTCGGTCAACACGAATTTCTTCGTTTTCTTGAATTATTGATGGTGGTGGTGGTGGTGATGGTAACGGCCGCGGTGGAATATTAGCTGTTGAATTTCCTCGAACATTATTTAGTTGATTTTCAATGGGAGAACCAACTATATTTTGGCTAACCAAACTTTCATCAGATGAACTTGATAATGATCCAACAGTATTTTGTGGTGCTAATTGTGAAGTCATTGCAAATGACCTTCCCACAAAACTGGAGATTAAATTAGATATTCTTTCATGCTGCAATAATTAAAATAAAAATTTTAAATAAGTCCGTGAAAAGGCTGAGAAATAAAATACGAAAAAAATTTAACAATAAGTGTGAAATTATACCATGAAATGTTAATGAAACCAAGCAAACTAAAAGTGTGAGATCATAAAATAGTGATAAGATGAGGATATATATAAACTTCAATTGCCAACTTTTTCTTTTTTTTAAAAAAAAAATAATAAATTAACGGTATTGTTTAGATCAGTTTGTGCGCACCTGGATCAAATATTTTAATATAATCAAGTAAAAATAAAGTAAATAACCTACTATAAAAAGGTTAAGTTATTATGCAAAAATAGCGTAAACTATTTTCGTTCAGTTCATTGATTGCGACTAGGACGATCTTCTCTCGTCAGAGGCATATGCAATTCATAAGTATCGGGTTCATCCAAACTCAATATTTTTAAGATAGAATATAAAAATATATGTAAAACCCGATTAAATTCCTACAAATACTAGATCGAACTCATAATAATTTCATATATACAATAGTTGTATGCAAAAAAAACGTAAAGATCAAATCCATCAAGTTTAAAACATAAATCTGCTTCTATCTTTGATATATATATTTGTAAGTAATTTCTTTTATTCCTTAATTTTACTGAGATTAATGAAAAGGTAAATTCGAAACTTTTCTATATAATACACAATAATCCTTACATGTAGTCTAGTACTCATGAAAGATCTTTTTTGTAGTCAAATAAAATTCAACTAAAAATTGTCAAAAAAAAAAGTTTAATTAAATAACAGCAACAACAACAGTAACGACCTAGTAAAATCTTACAAGTGGAGTCTGGGGAGGGTAATGTGTACGTAGACCTTACTCCAACCGCGATGGAGTAGAGAGACTGTTTACGAAAGACTCTCAATTCAAAAATACGGAAAAGACGAGAAGAGAAGAGGCAATATATCAGTTTTAATTAAATACAATAATAAATAAATAAATTTACCTCATCTCTCAATCGTTGATTTGCCATTTTCATTTTTTCCAAATTACGTTTTCTTTCTTCTTCTCCAGGGGGTGGACCATCACAGTGTGGGCAAATAATATTTTTCAGTGCCTCTCTCATTGCCATATTCTCACAATGAAATCTTTCATTTTCTGTTCGAAGAATATTGTTGTCTGCTCTCTCACTTAGTGCCTGTAATTTATTTATATACAAATAATCACATAAATATATAGATACATAAATCAGATTATTAGCTAATTAAATTTAGTAAGAAAATGAAATTAGTATTTCCTGGAAAGAATATTTTTAAATGTGTGAAAATATCTGTTTTTAATTAAATTCTCTTTGCTATATATTGTTATACAAATAACCTGTCAGATTTAATATTTATTTTTTCTAGCAGGTATACATAGATTACACGTAGTTATGCATATATTATACATGAATTGTATATATATTATACATCTGCCGGCTATTTATAATTTAATAGATTAGGTGAGCGGCTACTTGGGTTAATTCTTCCTTTTATTTTCAATTGTGCAAATAGATTTCTTGAGTTTTAATTGTTTTAAATGAATTACTGATACTAGCAATTTTTATTCTATTCTTTTTCTCATTCTTTCATAACATTATAATTAACTTATATGCCTAAATAAAGTAAAAAAAAAGAAAGGAAATAAGCATTTAAAAAGTTCAATTGAAAATAGAAGAAGGAAAATGTCTATTTATCTAATTTAAGTTGGAAGGGAAGTTCAAAATTTTAGATAAAATAGGAGCGAGAAAAAAAAAATCAACGTATGAGTGGCAAAATTAGTGGGCAATTTTAAAAATCGGTCTGCCGAAAGTAATTGTATTTGCTAGTCAGAAAGTTTATAAAATATATATATTTTATGAATATAATAAATATATACAAAAATATATATTTTATCGGTAATTATTTTTGGAGAAGGCTAAAAAGTTAAATATATACATTTCTCAAAATTTGTCATGATAGGCTGGGCATATCATGGCGGGCCAATTAGGACAGATATCAAGTCAGCTGGGCTGATTTGGATTAAATATGTAGCCCAAATTAACTTATTAGAAAAATTGGTAAAAATTGTGCGGGGCCGCCTTATTTGGTCGCCCTCATTTAACATATACTCATATTTTTAAAATTATTTAACCTATACCTTAATTTTTACAACTTCAGGCGCCGCCTTCCTGATACCTGTGCAAAACTTCAGCATATTTAGCGCTTAATTTTTTACAAATGAACTAAATAACTTCAGTATCTTCTACTGAAGTTTTTGAAAAAGCTTTATTGCAAAACTAATGAATCCAGGACAAAACTTCAGCTTATCTAGTGCTGAAGTTTTTACAAATGATTAATAGCTTCAGCTTCTTTTGCTGAAGATTTTGAAAACGAACTAAATAACTTCAGCACTGAAGTTTTTTACAAAAGATTTATGACAACACTAATTAATTCAGGACAAAACTTCAGCTTATTTAGTGCTGAAGTTTTTACAAATGAACTAAATAACTTCAGCACTGAAGTTTTTTACAAAAGATTTATGACAACACTAATTAATTCAGGACAAAACTTCAGCTTATTTAGTGCTGAAGTTTTTACAAATGAACTAAATAACTTCTGCATCTTCTGCTGAAGTTATTGAAAAGGCTTTATGACAAAACTAATTAATCCAGGACAAAATTTCAGCTTATTTAGTGCTGAAGTTTTTACAAATGAACTAAATAACTTCAGCACTTCTGCTGAAGTTTTTGAAAAACCTAGAATGCTGAAGTTTTATGTGATTGCCTTTGCTACTTCAAGCCCGTAAGCCTGAAGTTTATGCGAAAAGTGGGTACGCTTGTATTTTTTTTTTGCAAAGCGGGTATAAGTTAAAACGTGACCCAAAAAGCGGGTATAGATGCAAAAGCCCCAAAAAATTAAAGAATTAATCCAAATAACCGCTCACTCAACTGCTTAAACTAGGAATAGCCGGTGGGAGTATATTAAATGCGTAATGTATATATTATATATGTATAATCGTATATAATCAATGTGTAACATATGTATATGGCTAGAAAAAATAAACAGTGAATATGTCCGGCTATTTGTATAAAGATCCCAAAAAAAAAAATTGTCCGCGCAATATTTTTTTAAATTTTTTGGTATGATATGTTAAAATATAGTCACAATAAAGAAAAAAATTATTAGGAAGTTTCCCTAATTAAAACAATTATTAGAAAATAAATAAAACAATTTAAAGTTGGGAGAAATTCAAAATAGCCAGATTTACAAGTGGTCATTCAAAAATAGCCACACTCTCAAAAGTAATCGAAATTTAGCCACTTTTCATGTAAAGATAAATCTGAATGAAAACGTTATTCAAAATCCGTAAAATACTCCAGTATATTATACTGGAGTTCCAGCATAAGTATACTGGAACTCCTGCATAATATAATGGACTTCCAGCATAAGTATACTCGAATTCCAGCATAATATACTGGAGTTCCAACAAAGTATATCGGTCCAGTATAATATGCTGGAAATTCATACATATCTGCTCGCTCCAGTATATTATGCTGGAACTTTCTGCGTGTTGGAGTTCCAGCATAATATGCTGGAAGTTCATACACAGGTGCACCGAACTCCAGTATATTATGCTGGAACTTTCTGCGTGTTGGAGTTCCAGCATAATATGCTGGAAGTTCATACACAGGTGCACCGAACTCCAGTATATTATGCTGGGCCAGTCTCTATTACAGTAAAATAGTGACTATTTTTCAATAACTTGACAAACACTGCTATTTTCGAATAACCAGTCCGGAAATTGACTAGCACGTGCTATTTTTACTTTAAAACTTAGAGTTTATCAAATTGGGCTATAATTCTTTTTAGCCCTCTAAATTTCTGTAATTCGTCAATGATTCCAAAAAGGAATAATCATTAGTCACTAGCTGTAACACCAGATTTTTTGTGGCTTCAACTGGAAATTATGTAACTTCCCAAAAATCTACCAAAAATAGAAAAATAATTCTATTTAATTAGATTCCTCGCTAAGATATAGAAAGTATTTCAGATTATTTGACCTGATTCTATTATAGTACTTTTTAATCAAGGGCGCTGAATAGTTTGCGGCCTAAAGTTAAACTTTAATAATAAGCCTTAAATTTATTTTAAGGGGACCCATGCATTTTGGGACGAACGCAAGAACTTTAATGGCCTCACCCTAGAGCCGGCCTTACTTATAATTAATCAATTTTTAATTGTAATCCATATATATATCTTATAACAAAGTTGCTTTTTATTAGATTTTCACATACTTCAATTAATTTACTATCGATGATCAATACTCAAAGGTGTCAGTTAATTATAATTAATTATTTAAAAATTAAATCAGTCATGCATATAAAAAATAGACTAAATTAAATCACCTTTGTTTGTGTCCTTTTGTTTTGAAACCAAAACTTGATTTGCTTAGGATCAAGCCCTATTTCCCTACTCAGTTTGCGTCGCTGGTTCTCATCTGGATGTGGACATTCCTTGAAATATCTTCATTTCATTATTAAAAAAAAAAAAAAACCAACATCAGTATTCAGTGGCGAAGTCAAAAAAATTTCTTAAAACTATACAAGACTTAATATACATGAATAAAGTAATTTTTGACCTATATATATATATATATATGGTATAATTTTTCAACTAAGTTCAACTAACCAAGTATTTGCCAACTTTTTTTCAATAAACCTAAAAAAGAAAAAAGAAAAAATAATATTGTATAACCGCTCTCAAAATAATAGTCGAAATTATATATTTATTATATATATATATATATATATATATATATTTATTTTATATACTTTTTTGGTTATCGAATATAAATAGTTTATGATGCATGCTAAAAGTGAAAAAACCCGTTAGCATGAGTTTTTTCTCATGTAACGAGAAGAGATTAAAAGAAAATCGCACCCTTATGTAAAAGTTAATGTATAAACCAAGAACAACAAATTCATGTATAAAAAAAAGATTTATATGGTAAATCATCATCCAAATAAACTCTTTTTGATCCATTTTAGCAAGTAAATCAAAAAATTAAATACAAAAATTAATTATATTAATCCTTTACTAAATTTTAATGGGCTTATAAGGAACAAAGGACCAAAAAAAGACATGAAATGAATAAGAAATATTAATGCACAAAAAAAAAAACACATATAGAAAAAGAAAGTATTTCATGGTTAATTAATTTTATTTTTAACACTCATTTCTATCTTAGAAAATGACTACATTTCCTTATACCAATTTGTTTTTTTTTTTACTAATAAAAAGTAAATAATAAAAAAATTTGGCCATATATGAAGATGCAATTTTTTATTTTTTTTATTTTAAATCTTTCAAATAAAATCTTACGTTTCAAGCTGCTGAATTTGTTCCACAGAATGTCTGTTACACAGCTTCTGCCTCCTTGATCTTTTTCTAGAGCTTGAGGATTCTCCAATTTGTTCATTCCCAGAATCAGCCATTTTCCTTTGCTTTTCTATTCAAAATAAAAATAATAAATTTTAAAAAAAAGTGTTTCTTTGATTTAATTCTTAACAAAATCTACTTATATATAAAATAATAATAATTGAACAAAAAGAAAAGAGATAAAAGAGATTTCTACATACCTATGATATGTTAAAAGGATTGAGAATAAAAGAGAGAAATATTATATAATATGGTCTTTTTTTATAGTAGAAAACAAATTGACTACACATGAATAGACATAGAATCTGATATAGCAAAATATTCGGGGTTTAAGATTTTATAATAATGTGTAAACACAAGATAAGAATTGTGATACGCTTCTTTTATTTTTTCACCAAATTTTGGTTGATAAGATTTAAACAAAATGTACGTGCATCATTATTATTATTATCTACGTGTCATGATAAAATAAGAAGTCAAAAATAAAATTTTATATTTACGCTGCATAAACACGAGATACGAATTGTTAGTAAATATATATATATATATATAT